CAAAGCATTTTGGGCCCCCCCTGCCCAATTTTTTTTTAAAAAAGAACAAGGGGGGGGGGGGGGGGGGGGGATCAAGGCGTAACTCCCCGGTCGATATTTTACTGAATTGTTATCCCCCCTCCCTCCTAACAAATTCCAACTTTGCCTCCTAAGCGCCTGTGTCTATATTGCAGCACAGTAAAAATACAATACAATAATTTCACGAAATACATGTACAGAACGTGAATAAGTTTTAAATAAAATAGTCGATCTTTACTTGCAACACCTAGTAAATACACCTGTATCTTATATCCGCCGCGGAAAACGAACGGTAAAAACTATTTCCCTAATATTTTGAATTCTTTCCTACCTCAAGTAAAAGCGACTGCATTTTAGTAGAAGTCAAAGCGTCCGCCCCTGTGAGATGAATGAGCAACGACTTCTCATCGATGTGACATATAAATTCTGTCCTCCTATCCTTGCCTACCAAGATATACTGACGCCAAACCGCATATTTATACATGAATGTCGCGCCCACTTTTGTTGTGTAGGACAAACAGTTTTCATGGCCTGGTTTGCGCAAGGCAGAAAAGACTTTTCTTTTCTTTTTCTTTTTAGGCATTATGTTTCGTAAGAAATAACCTGACAAAAACTGTGCAGACACAAAAGACTAAAAGAAAGATTCAGGATTAAAAAAAAAAAAAAAAAAAGAACCCGTCTCTTTGACCTTCAAGGCAGCTCATCGTAGCTCAGCCAGGATATAAAGAGGCTCAAAGTGACCACACTTATGTTAAGTCACGATGGGATGACCTAAGACGCGTGTGTCACCACCTCGTAATGACGTGTTCTCTTAATGCATACGACACATTAACATTCTCACGTAAGACCATCTTCAGATTGGGTGTGAGGTGTGCAGGGTGTGCGGGGTATTTTTTTTTTATTTTAGACTTGGAGTCGACCATTAAAGAATAAACTTCGATTTTTTGAAAAAAATAAAACCACACAGAAGGGCACTTTAAATACAGGATTAGAATTTTAACTAGCTGGATCATTGTTCAAAACCGTATCAAATGGTACCGTTCGCCCTCTACAATACAAAAAAATTTCTGGGCCCTTCAACAGGCCCCAAACCCCACGCCAAGGGAGGGGGGGTGTCTGCTTCGCATCCCCCCCTCCCCCCCCCCCCCCCCTTCAAAAAACCATGGATCCGCCCCTGCGATTAAAACCAACGACTTGGGTTTAAGGCAAATATTGAGCACTGGAAGGGTGTAATCCACTTTGACACATTTTAACTGTGCGGTTTTAGTAAAGAACCTCTTATTCCATTTCAATTCAGGATGTTTGTGCTGTAGTCTGTGAAAGAAAATTAACTAGCGGTTTCAAATTAAAGCCATTTCTTTCTTTTTATAAAGAACAATTAGCGATTCTTTTAAAGTCGACTCATACGAATGTGTCCTGCATCAGAGAAAACCAATACCATCTTAAATTTAGAGCCAATTTTCGTTCTTTGAGTGTTTTCCTAAAACCGACCTCTGGCGCTTTAATAAGAAAACGAAAGTGAAAGTGCCGGACCCACCTTATCATCGTGTGTGGGCGGGTCCCTAAAATGATACAACGGGTCATCGTTAGTCTCGGTCCCACCAGGATGAGAATGTTCGTGATTGTCTATAGCGACACTAGCGCTCTCTGGCTTCGACTCCTTGGAAGGAGACATTTCTTTCAGTTCGATAAATGAAATTCCATTTTGAGAGTGTTCCGTTCCGTTTTCCGGCGGCCGAGTCCCGTTTTGAGCAGGGTAGGTTGCCTTCTCCATGGCCGAGTCGTCTAATGACGGATCATAACAAGGGTTGTCAATCTGAAATAATAAATTAGGTAAATATTAATAAGAATTAACAACATGCAGTGGTGATAATATGTAACCCTATGGGGTGTAGTTTTATTTCTCAGGGTGAGAGCTCTCACTCTAATTTCCCCTCCTTTCTCCCTGATATCATTAACATCATCATCATCATCATCTTCATAATAATAATAATAATAATAATAATAATAATAATAATAACAAATACAAATAATTATTATCATTAATTTATTAGTGCATTATCAGTATTATTTTTAATTTCATACACCTTTAACATACAAAGCGTCTCTGCAGTAGTTGGCAGCAGTTGCCTCACATCTTTCTGTGCTGCGATCAAATGTATTGTTTTTATCAAATATTGTTTTTTCAGCTTAAACAGTGCTGGCAAGCAGACAGAATCAATGTATAAGATACGGCACCCAAGGAAAAATCTTCTGATCGAGAACCCACAAACAAGAATTTTATGGACGAATTAGGAACGCGCGCAACATAATATTGCACGACAGAGGTAATACACCATATTATTACACAGTGTCTTCACACAGACATGTTTGTCTTTTTTTAATGGAAGACAAGTTGGATTTTGAAGCGGGTCCTTATTGGTGGGAAACGTCTCAGAGACTAGGAACACATCCCTGTTTTTATTGGTCAGCTTACAGCTGTCACATTTCACCAAATATAGACATAAATACATGTATATTGTCCCAAAGCCAGAGCTTAAGTGGGGAGGCACAAGTTGACGGCATCCCCTGAGAAGGTTTGGGGGGGTGGTATGGGGGGGGGTGGGGTGGGGGGGG